CGAAAGCTTTTCACCGGAGCGTTTCTTCCTAGAGAAACGCTGGTCCGCAGACTCTGAACAATGCCTTACAAGCTATAGTGCACCGTACACAGGAGTGCGCCTTATACCCCAAAAATAGGGTAATATGTTAAGAACTCGAGTTCCATATAGGCACTACAACATAAGATCAGATCATCAAACGAAGAAAACCTTTCTTTGAATATGTAAAGCTGGAGAGAAAAACGTGTTTCTCAACATTAAATATTAGTTTTCTGTGGATCTATGGGAATGAAAATTGCTGATGTGCAGATGAAATCGCTCTGATAACAGCATGACGAAAATGCTTACAAATTTCGGCACTATTCAACTATAACTACCCCAGAAAGGGTTGCAAGACAACTGTCAACCGGACACTCTCGCTGCTAGGGTCCAGAGGTGTTTTCTCATCGCATCTTCTGTTCTTCGAGTTTAGAGGAAGGAAAGAAGGGAAAGTGGGTGAGAGAAGAAAGGGAGAAAAAGAAGGAGAGAGAGGAAAGAAGAAGGAAGGAAGAGGAAGGCTCCGCGGCTTGACAGATATCCTGAGACCCCCCACAAAAAGTCAAAAAAATTTCTGCTGAAACTCCCCCGCAGGGTTACTCCGGTGTCCTGATCACGAATCTGGCACTCGTTGTCGACGCCGGTGCCAAGTTGGCGCCATTAAGCGCCAGGTTGGCGCCGTCACCTTTCTCACCAAATTCGATGTAAATTTGCATAGTAGACTTACATCATTTCCTGATAAGGAATAGCGAGCGCATTAGTTTCTAGCCCTGGCGCAATTTGGCACCATTAGACGCAGATTTGGCGCCACATCCTTTTTTTATCAAAACGATAAAAACAGCACAATAGAGTTGCGTGACGCCGAAATCACGAACATGACACCAGCGCCACTTAGCGCTCTTCTAAGGCTCAGCCTGGGAGAAGGAGTGATACCTTCAGTCCAGGCTCAGCCTTACGCACAGATGATCGTAGTGTCTTCCATAAGCGCCGGCGCCAAAAAAAATGTGACATTTGCAAACAAGATGTAACCTCCATATACAAGTATTCAGCAGATTTGGTGACCTAGGTTATTTTGGCGCCGGCGCCTGTGGCGCGAGCGCCAGGCGGTTTCAGGCCGAGCGGATGTGATATTCGTGTTCAGGAGGTCAAACTACCCCTGGGGACAAGTTTTCAGCGAATTCGGTGATTTAGGGTTTTTGGCGCGGGCGCCAGGCAGTTTCAGGCCAAGTGGATGTGATATTCGTGTTCAGGAGGTCGAATTACCCCTAGAACCCAACTTCCAGCCAAATCTGCCCCCGTAGAAAAAAAAGTCGCTCAAATCGGAAAACTGGGGTAGTGATGGTCGAATAGTGCCCAAATTTCTTTACAACAACTGTTGGTGCGTCGTCAAATAAACATCCTTTCATGGGTGTAATACTAATATCGCGGCAATGCGAGAACGCGCGCGACGAAAGCAGCGGAAGCGGCATTCCAGGTAGGCGCAGCACTTTAGCGTCAAGTCGACTCGTATCATATATTGTTTTCCGATCGTTGGGTTACTCTCTAAAATACACGGTGTAGGACGTAATCAAAGCACTTGTGACGTGAAAGCGCCAACATTTAGTCAACTAGCTAGGAACGTTGGTTCGCGCTAAGTGAGTCCAGGATGTCCCGATTTACAGCAGGGGAATCGCAAGTATTTCTCGCTACGCAGCACACTGGCCTCATAATAACTGTCATGATAGCTCATTGTTTGTAACCCCGTGAAATCACGGTATAGGACGTAGCCTGCAACGGCACCATTGATATGACACCGAAGTGCTACCTGAGTAAACTAGATAGGAATAATGTACGCAAAGCTGGTCTTGCATGCCCTGAATTGCGAGTACCAACCCCGGAAAAAATCTCCTGGAACAAAAGTCTGCTTGTTTTCATTATCTTTTACGGCAAATGAGTAGTCTCTCATTTAGGCAGCGTTCAGACTCGCGACGGCAGCGCTTTGGTCGCGCGTTCAACACGCTCGATGCAGTCGAAAGAATGCGCATCGATCAAACGGGCGACTGAAGCGCTGCTGTCGCGAAAACTGAACGCTGCCTTACGCTACCATCCTTTTTTGGCGGGATACACCTCTTTTCGAATTTATTGAAGAGAAAGAAAACA